GAACGCACAGGTCACTACCAGGAGGAACAAATGTCTTTGCAATACAAATTACCATTACCAATTCAATCAACAGACTAGGAGAGCTGAGCATGAGAGGATATTCCACCCATGACAGTCTGAATTAGCTCTCTGGTAAAGACATTATAATGCTGGAAGAAAAACCAACTGCAGATTGCCTTTTTTTTTTTAAGTCTTTAAGAATTTTTGTCTTCATTAATTCTCCTCAATTCCTTTCTACCACTGATGGATCTTCAATGTGGAAACTTCTAGGGAATCTCTGGAAACCTACACATAGAAGAAAATGAAAGTGAAGTGATTTTGAGGATACTCTTGATTGGTAAGCCACACGATTCATAAAAACAGGTTGAAGCAGGGTCCACACAGCCCATATGAATCTGGCTGTCACCCTGATGTGCCGCTAAAAAGCAACTAATGCCTTCTTCGTTTCTGTCTTTGAAATCTCATGCAAGATGATTATTGGTGAATTTTATCATGAATCATCCAACTCCAACTCTGGATTTTATTGTTGTAGTGCAAGTCTCTCTTCTGAATTCAAAAGTCAATTATTATCTCAGAGCTTTCTCCACTCTACTTTTGTGTTTGATAAGAACTGACACAACCGAATGCTGTCCCGGTTCTACACATTATGAGGTATTTCTCTCATATATTAGTAGTATGAGGTCTTTCATGTCTTTGACAGGAACTAGGGTGAAAGAAGGCTTTCCACATTCCTTACATTCATAGGGTTTCTGTCCTGTGTGAATTTTTTCATGTATTTGAAGGGACTTGGCAGACCTGAAGGCATTACCACATTGCTCACATTTATAGGGTCTTTCTCCAGTATGGGTCCTTTCATGTCTATGAAATGACCTAACAGAATGGAGTATTTTGCCAATTGCCTCACTCGTAGGATTTCCTCCAGTGTGAATTCTTTATGTATTTGAAAGGAGGTGGAACTGATGACTTACCGCATTGTTTACATTCACAGTGTTTCTCACTAGTGTGAGTCCTTTTATGATAAAGAAAGGAACTGTCATAATGGAAGGCTTTCCACACTGTTTACATTCATAGGCTCTCACCAGTGTGAGTCCTTTCATGTATTCGAATGCCTTGGCAGACCTGAAGGCTTTCCACAATGTTTACATCATAGGGTTTCTCTCCAAGGGCATTCTAGCCCAGGCAACAGAGCGAGACACTGTCTCAAAAAAAAAAAAAAAGAAAGAAAGAAAAAGGAGACAGAGAGAAAGGGGAGGGAAGAGAGCAAGGAGAGGGTGTGGCATCCTAAAGAAAGAGAAGGGAGATGCCAGCAGTGAGGCCAGGTGGGTGGCTTGCTGCTTTTAAGGGGACAAAGAGAAAAAGAGTTAATTGTTGTGAATTGCTGTATCAGCTTCTCTTCTTAACTGCAAGCAGATAATGGAATCTGCTGTGTGAAACAGCTGCATCTGTTCCCTTAGGTTTAGGGATAAAGGGACCTTGCCCTCAAGGTGTGATTTGGGTTGGGTTTGCTGTCTGGAGATTGTCCCCCATGCTGTCATCCAGGAACTTCTCAGGAACCACTCCAGGCTTAGAAACAGATGCTAAAAAGTCAGTTTTAGTCAATAGGTCTAGAAATTGTTGAAAATTTACATTTCCTTTTTGGGCTTTTGTCAGGTGTTTGTGAAAACAGAGTCCCACCAGGTTTCCTGGAAGTAGAGAGAGAGCTCATAGGATTTATCATTAGCTGTTATTAGAAAATTACTGGATTAGGTATTTTCCTGTTATTTCAGCAAGGCTGTCCTTACAAAAACAAATGTTAAAAGGAACATTCTTTTGTTCTCACAGTGCCTTCCAGTTAGGCAAATTCTGTGGCTTTTTTATTGTGCAATGATTATTAAGGAAGAAGTCACCATTAGAAAGATACTTGGTCCTTGACGCCCTATCTTAATCCTGCACAGGTTTTTTTGTGGTATTCCCAAGCAAACAAAAATAACTGCATGAATGTCCCATCTCTATAGGAAGAATTAAATACGGTGTTTCAAATCAGTTTTATCACCCAGCCAGGTTCTTTTTGCCTATTGCACAGAGAAAGAGGCAATGCACCCAGACAGCAGCAATTCAGCAGATAAAGAGTTTATTTATTTGTTTGGCAGCTGAATGCAGAGGGGGCGACATTTCTCAAATCTGCCTCTTGAAAAGCTTTGGGCTGGGAGTTTTAAGGGGAATTGGGCAAGCAGGGGGTGTCGGGAATTGGCATTGCTGATTGATCGGGTTCAGGGTGAAATCAGGTACGTAGAAACCGCATTCTTGCACTGAGTCAGCTCCTATGACCATGCGGGTCATAGGAGCTACTGAGTCAGTTCCAAGGTAGGGATCACTGATCTGGTCCGTGTCCCAGGGCCCATAGGAATGCAGGCTCTGGGAAACCTCTTAAAAGGCAGCCTCAGGTTTTGCAATAGAAGTGTTATCTACACCAGTGCTTAAGGGAAGTTGTAAATCATGTGACCAAACTCTGAAGGGGGCTAGGGTCAGGAGCTGGCCAGTTCTTACCTTGTCCAGCTTTACCGGTCCAAGAGGAAGAAGCATAGCCTGTCGTGTGAGGGGGAGGACAGCGGCCCCTCTGGCAAACGTGGAGCAAGCTGTCCTGAAATGGAAAATCCCATGATCAGGGCACCGGGAGCTCGGCCTGAGAGAGGCTGTGGATGGAAGCTGTCAGGTGTGGCTCCACAAGTCCACACTTCCTGAGGCCTCGCCTGTCACTCAGCCTCAGGGGGCGGGGCCCGGGGCAGTATCCAATCAGGGTCGCTGGGCGGGGCCTGCGCACTGGCCCCTGAAACAGGCCGCGGGAAGGAGGCGGCGACCTTCAACCCCTGTTCCCTCCCGCCTGAGTCGCTCTGGCGGCGGGCCGGGTTCCGCCGCTCCGCTCCGACAGTCTCTGGTGCCTCCGCGACGGCTTCCGTCGCGCCGTCCCCTACGCGGTGAACTGCGCCGTCTCCAGAGCAGGGGCGAGGGCGCCGGACGGCACCTCGGAAGGCGGGAGATGGTGAGTGTGCGGGGCCGGGCGTCCCCGGCGGAGCAGGGGCTGGCTGAACCGACCAGACCCGGCTGTGACTGGACCCGGGCACCCCGCGTCCCGCTCCGTTCCCTCGGTCGCCGGCCCGCGGGGTGTGGCCGGGCCCCGGGCGTCCTGTCAGGTTCCTGCGCGGCGACCTCGGTCCCGCCCCAGCAGTCCTGTCAGGGCAGCTCCGCGGCCGCCGCCCCGCGCGTCCCCGGATTGTGCGGGGGCGGCGGAGGGTCGTCGGGGAGGGTCCCCACTCGGTGTGTGGGTCGTGCGTGGGCGGCGCTGCGGCCTGCGGGGGCCGGTCACTTCCTTCTCCTGTTAAATATTCCACTGAGACTCCGGGAGGCCGAGGCGGGCGGATCGCTCGAGGTCAGGAGTTAAAGACCAGCAAGACCGAGACCCCGCCTCTACTAAAAATAGAAAGGAATTAATTGGCCAACTAACATATATAGAAAAAATGAGCCGGGCATGGTGGCCTGTAGTCCCAGCCACTCGGGAGGCTGAGGCAGGAGGATCGCGTGAGCCCAGGAGTCTGAGGTTGCTGTGAGCGAGGCTGACGCCACGGCACTCACTCTAGCCTGGGCAACAAAGCGAGACTCTGTCTCAAAAAAAGAAAAAATCAACTGAGGCGGTTTTAAAAATATAAACCTTTATTTGGGCAAAGCGATTTGTTTTGTTATTTTTTTTTAGGAGACAGGGTCTTACTCTGTTGCCCTGGGTGGAGTGCAGTGACTCATCATGGCTCCCTGCAGCCTCCAACGCCTGGGCTCAAGGGATCCTCCTGCCTCAGCCTCCCGCGTACTTGGGACTACAGGCATGCGCCACTACACCCGGCTAATTTTACTTTTCTTTTCTTTTCTTTTTTCTCTTTGAGTCAGAGTCTCACTCTGTTGCCCGAGCTAGAGTGCCGTGGCGTCAGCCTGGCTCACAGCAACATCAAACTCCTGGGCTCAAGCAATCCTTCTGCCTCAGTCTCCCGAGTAGCTGGGACTACAGGCATGTGCCACCATGCCTGGCTAATTTTTTCTATATGTTTTTAGTTGGCCAATTAATTTCTCTTTTTTTTTTTTAGTAGAGGGGGTGGGAGTGGGGTGGGGTGGGGTCTCCGCTCTTGCTTAGGCTGGTTTTGAACTCCTGACCTTGAGCAATCTGCCAGCCTGGGCCTCCCAGAGTGCTAGGATTACAGGCGTGAGCAACGTGCAGGGCCTAAACAGCGATTCTTAAATGAGAAACATTTGTAGTTATGGTTGAAGGAAAGGCTTTTATAAGGTGCATGGGGAGCCAACCCAGGTTAAATACTTGTTTACAGTTGTGTAGTCGCCTTATTTGGACTTGTCAACCTGAAATCGAAAGGATCAGATTCCACTTTTAGAGGGTTTTTGGAAGCTAAATACCAGAAATGGCCTTTGAGGAAAACACGGGCTCCAGAGAAATGGACTCAGTGCTCTGAAGTTAAGAAGTTATGTTCTTATGTTCTTGCTTATATAGGCAGAAACCACAGAACTTAACAATTTGTAAAATTTTCCATACAAGGCTGGTTTAAACAATGAGTTAAAAACAATTTAATTAGTTACAATGATTTCCCCCCCTTCCCCAATATTGCAAGGTTTTTCGGCAACGGCAAAAAGAAAAGACAGAAAGTGGGGCCAAACATCCCAGGATTTGGCACCAAATGTAAGGTTTTTTGGGAGCGGAAAAAAGAGACAGAGTGGGGCCAAACCACGTGGCTTTATTTAGCACTCCCAGACGGGGTTCTGGGATCCCAAGAGATGGAGGGGCCCAGAAGTCACCTCGTTTGAAGGGGGTGAGGCCTTTTATACCGTTTGGGCCGGGCTAGGGAATTTTGGTGGGAAGAATTGGGGCGACCTGTGGTTGTCATTGAGAAATAGGAGGGGCTGGCGGTATTTGCAATGCAGGAGCCAAAGTGTTCTTATCAGGGTGTGGTAGTTTTCAGCGAGGCAGTTGTCCTTAGCGTTTGGTCTCATGGAGCCTTTTCCTTTTTGATCTATGGAAGGGAGGGGGCCTGGCACCAGCCTTACACATATCACTTGTTTTCTTTAAGGCCGGTTTTTACTTCCTTTCCAATTTAAAAGAGTATTTAAGATTCCAACTTAAGACTGTGTGGTAATTGTTAAGTTTTTTGCTGGAGAAAGGTAAAAGGCAGCAAAATCTATAGTGAAGAGGCTATTGTTCTATTCTTACCCCCTATAGTCACTTACATTTAAAGAAACAATGTAGGCTGCGTGTGGTGGCTCAGGCCTGTAATCCTAGCACTCTGGGAGGCCTAGGTGGGCTGATTGCTTAAGGTCAGGAGTTCAAAACCAGCCTGAGCAAAAGTGAGACCCCGTCTCTACTAAAAATTGAAATAAATTAATTGGCCAACATATATATATATATAAAATTAGCCGGGCATGGTGGCACATGCCTGTAGTCCCAGCTACTCGGAAGGCTGAGGCAGCAGGATTGCTTGAGCCCAGGAGGTTGCTGTGAGCTAGGCTGATGCCATGGCACTCACTCTAGCCTGGGCAACAAAGTGAGACTCTGTCTCAAAAAAAAAAAGAATGTAGTTCAGGAAAACGCTAATGTCGAATCAGAAAAACAAGTTACAATCCTAGCACTCTGGGAGGCCATGGATCACTCAAGGTCAGGAGTTGGAAACCAGTCTGAGCAAGAGTGAGACCCCGTCTCTACTAAAGAAATAGAAAGAAATTAATTGGCAAACTAAAAATATGTATAGAAAAAATTAGCCAGGCATGGTGGCACATGTCTGTAGTCCCAGCTACTCGGGAGGCTGAGGCAGGAGGATCACTTGAGCCCAGGAGTTTGAGGTTGCTGTAAGCTAGGCTGACACCATGGCACTCTAGCTTGGCCAACAGAGTGAGATTTTGTCTCAAAAAAAAAAAAATCAACTGAGGCGGTTTTAAAAATATAATTGTTTATTTGAGTGAGACTCTGATTCAAAAAAAATATCAGCTTCTGTGTCACTCCTCCCAGAGGGCAGCATGAGGGGTGGGGGTGGGGCACACGTGGGGTACAATGCAGTGTTGGTGGGAAATGGTGCTTGAGCACTGCAGTGAGCAGGATGAGGGGGGAGGGATGTCCGGCATTATAGCATGTCCTGACCTCACACTTGAGTCAGACATGTCTGTGTTCCAGTCGCCACTGCCTGTCTGTGAGTTTGTCCCCTTGTAAAGAATTGTCCACTTATTGCAGCTTCTATTGCAATTGAATTGGAAAATGCATTTCCAATTTGAATTGGAAAATGCACTATTGAATTGGAAAATGCATTTTTCACTACAGCTTGAAAGAGAAGAAAATTTTGCAAAGAGGCCAGAAAGAGGTAGATTTCGGAGGGAGGGGGGTGAAAATCAAAATCTAGTCTTATATTCTGGTTGTTAAAATTTCTTATTTATATTTTCTCTTCTCAAGAGCCAGTATAGTATGTTTCTCAGGTGTGTCCTTTTTTGGTGGGTGAATTCTGATGGAATTTCAGGGCTTAGCTCTGGAAATACTGCTGGGGAAAAGAAATACAGAAAATCTGTGTTTCTTGGGGCTGGATCAGCAGGCAGGACTCCCAGGCATCCTGCCCCATCACTGCAAGAAGAGACTCTACGCTCCCTGAAGCCCTCCCTGGGCAGTTGTACACCAGGTGTTGTGCATCTCACCCACTTTGTGGAATGAGAACAAAGTGATCATCAGGAGAGAAATTTGACCTGGTGTTTTGGGTTTGTGGTTTGGTGGGACTCTGGTTGGCCCAGCAGCATTGCCTGTGTGGACCCCAGCACCTCCTTCCTCCCCATGGAGTGGGAGCCTGTTTTCCCCTGTGTGTTTCATATGTTTGAAGCAGGGTCTCAAGTCTAATCCTCTATTCTTTCTAAGAAGGGATTGCTTGGAAAGTTTGGTCAAGGAAGGCTTTGTTCAACACAATAGCACTCCCCCAATAACTAATAGGGGAGAGAGTTTGAACTAAAACTTGAATGCAGCAATTGGACTTACAGACAAATGGGCAAGGTGAGGGAGAGGATGGAACTTGCTTAGGTATAAAGGGTCGGCAAAAGCAACTTGATTAACTATCACCAGTGGGGGAAGAGGAACTTGATCTGATATCAAGTGTGTATGGGGGACGGCGGGGGGATTCTTTCTAAACTGCCTTGGAAGGATTCCTGCTATAACTGTGCTGTGCATGACAAGGCCACAACCTAGTCTTGAAGAGCCTGACTTCAGTTCAGTCAAGGAGAGAGTCCTTGAGACCGCCAGCCTAGTTTTTCCTAGGGCTCATAATAAATTCCTAAATTTTGTTTCCCTCCCTGCATTCCAAAATGCAAATTTGTCAACTATGTGTCCCTCATACTAGATTTGAAACAGCTGTAGTATTTTAATTATCATTTATCCACATTAGTATGTGGTTGTATTTATTTATTTGTTTATTTATTTTTGAGACAGAGTCTCACTCTGTCACCCGGCCTAGAGTGTAGTGGCATCATCATAGCTCACTGCAACCTCAAACTCTTGGGCTCACGAGGTCCTCCTGCCTCGGCCTCTAGAGTAGGTGGAACAATAGGCGCATACCACCATGTCCAGGTAATTTTTTGTTTTTGTAGAGATGAGGCCTCCTTGCTCAGGCCAGTATCTCTAGTAACCACTGAGCTCAGGCAGTCCTGTCTCAGCCTCTCAGAGTGCTGGGATTACAGGCGTGAGCCACTGCACCCTAAATTTTTAATATTTTTCATATGAATATCTTTCATGAGAGGAAAGCACAAAGTCACTACTTGAAACTTCATTTTTTTTTTTTTTTTTGTTTGAGACAGAGTCTCCCTTTGTTGCACAGGCTAGAGTGAGTGCCATGGCGTTAGCCTAGCTCACAGCAACCTCCAACTCCTGGGCTCAAGTGATCCTCCTGCCTCAGCCTCCTGAGTAGCTGGGACTACAGGCATGTGCCACCATGCCTGGCTAATTTTATTTATATATATATATACACACAC